TATATATATATATATATAAGCAACTGACTTCTATTTCTAAGAAAACTGCAAGTCCTTTAATAAGTATGGGATTTACATTAAGGTCGATTAGTCACGTGCTAAAACATGCGCTTGCATAGTATTGAAGGCACTAGCAAAATCAATGATTACAATTAATAGTTAATTGTACCAAAATATTATAAACCAACATTAAAATAAGCAATTTTAATTATTTTTGTACATACAGTATATCATAATTTTATAACTATCATAATCCTTTGGGAAAAAAAACAGTCACTCTGAGAGGGGATTAATGGAACCCTTCATGGGAATAATAAAAATAATGATTGCAAAAAGGCCCTACAAACCCGGCATATACCAGTACAGTAGGCACATGCTCCCGGCTTTTACAATAATTATATTACAGTACATAGGCCTTTATTATGTAGGTAAATTTCTCATGTCTAGACCCCTAGCTGGAAACAATATCTGTTTAACTGCTATCTCTGCCACTACCAATAAACACTGAATTTACATTGGTTACACTTGATAAAATTAGCATGAGAACTTTGATCTTTCGATCAGATGACATGTAATATAATAATATGAGTAGGCTAATCTACACCAACCTCTTATACTTACATACTATTGTCGTATAATAGTAGTGATTCAGATCTTCACTGACTGCTGGGTTTCACCTGTTCAAAAGACGTATTGCATATATTCCAAAGACTTTTCGTGATGGTTCGTGAATGTGCGATTTAGTCCTAAACTAAGATTAGGTAAATTTGATTTAATCGTAAGTACTTGTTCGTTTTGACTGTGTCTCTATGTTATAACATCTCACTCCTGTACTCAGGGGTGGCGCTAGGATTTCCCCAACTGGGAGTCGATGTCCCCGACGAAAAGAAAAGTAGATAGATAATCCATAGAGTTTGCTCTATGGATTATCGCTCACACAATCGATTGTTTAGTTTAGCCGACTATTTTCTATAGCTAGCTCGGTTCCCCCAGTAGCTTAGTGGGGATGAGTTTTATATTTCAAAATATTTAAATATGTGAAACACTCAAACTTATCTATCTTAATAGTAATTACTCTATAAAATGAATTGATAGAATGCAATTATTACATTTTTTTCAAAATGCTAATAAGCATATGTTTATTTTTCAGTTAATAAGCTTAGTTTTCAATAACTAAAAAAAATCACTGTTTGGTTCATTTTTTATTTCTGAAAATCGGAATATTCTTAAGGGTATGACCAAGTTTACTTATACCTGTACTTCTCTAGGCAAAAAAATATTTTGATTATCAAACAAACACCTAAATACAGTATGCAAACATGAACTTTTTGTGCATATTTCTAACAAATATAAAATAGTTGTCATTTAAAGAATTCAAGTAATTTCGACTGTAAAAGTAAATTTCTATTTTGACTGTTTTACAAATTTTGTTCCTGTTTTTAAATTATATGGGCCTATTCACTCCTCGTACACTGCAAACAATCATGAAGTTATATTATACATTAAGTTATATTATACACTGGTCATACACTCGTCACTTTTCACAGTCAATAAAGTCTACTTTTAGTCAATGATGAACAAGAACATGGAAGAAGATATGTTAAAATGTAAGTTAACATAAATTATTTTGTTAAAATTATACATGGTTATCATTGTTAATATTAAGGTTTATAATTACATCGATTTATCCATATGTTCGTTTTTCTTACAAAGTAGCGTCTTCATTGTCCAGTAAATTTAATTACTACGCCTACTGTAATCAGCCCAATTGAAGGTTAGGAATAATAATCATTAACTGAATAATTTCAAACTTTTTTAAGCTAATTTTGACATGAATTAAATTTTCGGCCTAATCGACTGCATGACGTACAACAGGTATATGATTGAGAGGGCGCAATGCAGGTCGTCACTCGAGAAGTCTGTTAACTACTCTAAAATACATATACTGATCATATCACTATCAACCGATGACTACCTGTACTACAATAGCTTGACTATAAAACTAACTTTAAAAGATGGCGGTTGACTTATAAAGCAATTGAAATAGTACTTACCTATACACAAGAGGAAATTATTATACTATACTATAATAATTTCCACTGGTGTATGATATGCAACTATACTAATTTCTTAATGCATTTCTTATTTTCCCCTTTCTTTTGTTTTATAACTACTGAACATACGTTCAAATTACAAATCAAGCATGTCAGCAAGGGCGTTTCTTTTAGTTACTGTACCTTTTAATGTTTGATTAGGTATTACTATAAAAGTACTGGTAAATTATTATTATCAGCTGTATTCTTTCATATGTGCAATCATACAGTTTTGCAATATAAAGAGCAGAAGATATGTTTGTTTTCAATTTACATGATACAAAGCAAAATAAGTTAATTGAATTTTATTCAAAACAATTTACAGGCGATTCTGAAGAAATATTTCAGGAGCTTAAATCAGTTGTTTCAGAATGGTATGACAGTAGAGGATATATCGATAATCTAAAAGTCTTGTACAGAGATTTGTTATCTCCTGCTGAGTTACATAACGCGTCTATGACGATAGAGTTGCTAAATTTATTAAGTGATTCCGATGAACTAAGTTCAAAAAGTCTCACTCTTCTGTATGACACCATAACGATAAGCAAACAGTTTGCATTAGTTAAACAATTTGAAGAGCAACTACCATTAGTTCCAGTACCTAAGAACATTAGGGATAATAAAATATCTAAGTTCACACCTCACCGACAAAGGCTGATGAAACTGGGAAAACAACTGACAAATGAATGTGTAGCCAAGATAGATGGTTTGTTTAATAAGCCATTGAAAAAATATCCTGACAGCTGGTGTTTAATTTTGGATTTGGAAAACAGAGGTTTAATTTGTAAAGGAGAGATGACAACATTTCGTGGAAAATTAGAGAAGCTTAATCTTACAGCAGATGTGTGTAGATTATGTAAAGGTAAATGATACAGATTTTATATAATTATTTATTATTCATATTTATTTATTTGCCAAATCAAATTATAAGCATCAGTTACTATTATCATAATCAAAATCATCATCATAATCATCACCATCACCGTCGTCGTCGCTGTCATCGTCGTTGTCATCCTAACCCTCATTTGAATATTGTTAATACATACTTTCTATATTATGATAGATATATGTGTTATACTAAACTTATAATTAACTTGTACATTAATAGTTTACTGGTTAATTATAAGTTAAGTATAACACATAATAAACCTAACTTATGAATTAAATCTCATTTCTATTCACAAGTATGCTAAAATCCCCCAAATATAATTATAACTTTGTTTCAGATGATGAAAGTCAATCACCAGTATTCAAAAAAGCAAAGTTAGTTTTACCTAGCAACCAAGGTGTGTATAATGTAGATATAATTTAAATAAAATTAATAATTTATAGGCTAGTAACTATCCTTTATTTGGTATCATTAATAAATTTAATCAAATAATGCATATTGTGATTTATTTTCCAAGTTCAGAATCAGATTCTGATTTAATTATATCTTTCCAATTTTACAATAGCACTGAGTACATTTTTAAATAACTCTAATCTGACAAAAACAAATTACAATTAAAGAATTATCATAATATATCAAGATAGTAATTTATAAAATATAAAAATTTTGAATAAAAAATCCATAGATGTATACATGTAGCATGGCCTCAATGCAGCTGGTAGAGTAACTAAACGGTAAATAGAAAGTATTTGGTTCAAATCTTGATAGAGACAATAAGTTTTTCTTTTTCTAATTATCAGAGACTGTATCATTGAATAATAAAAAAATATATAATTACATGTAATAAATAGTATCTGACAGTTTGCCTTAATTGCAGCAAACAATTGTATATAAAAATCGGGATTTGGAAAAACATAACCATAATTGCTATTGTATAAAAAAATATTACTTTTCACCTTCAAATTATTATTATTAAACTGATTTATTGTTCAAGAAGAAAGTTCATCATTGGAAATAATTACTACTAACAAACATTATCAAGTGTCTCTACTAATATTCACTTAGTTTCAGACGATGAAAGTCATCTACCGGCATTAAGAAGACCATCACAAGGTGTGTATAATGTAATTACGAATTAATCCAATGTAGTAATAAAAATCGCAGTGGATTGATTGACATTATGATCAATCAAGCATTCAACCAGCCAATCAATCAATCAATCAATCAGTCTTATAAATTAATCATATCATTTAACCTATCAATTATTATTTAATCAATTAACTTTATTTTGGAATCAAGTTCATAGAAAATATAAAGGGGTATAAGGGCCAACCAGAATAAAATATCTATAAAGGTCAAAAAAAGAATTATTGCAGTAAAGTCAGTACTCTTCTACTACTAGTGGTCATTCTGTGTAAGATACTGTAAATGCAGAAAGCAGAATTGTTTAGACAATCACACTCAATAGCATTCTTAAAGTGAATCCAGTAACTAGTTCTAAATTTTAGCTTAATGTGAGTGGGAAATTTTAATGTTTATTTTAGTAAGTCATTTGAAATACTTAAAAATTATGTTAATATTGTTATTTACTCAGAAAGTTGTTCGAACGTGTTGTGGATTAAAGAGTGCAAATGCTTATATTTCAGTTGTTGACAGCTGACTTAATTTTCATTTTATCTTATAATTCAGATGAGATTATCAGACAATATCTGCACGGTCAACAACAAAAAGTGTGCAGAAATGCTAACCGATTCACTCCGGCAACGTGGAATACCAGGTACCAAGTTGACGTTGCTCACATGTTCACTGATTTGGACCTACTTAAACAAAATAAAAAGAAACAGGATGCCAAACCAACAACTTTGAAGGAGATTTTAGAAATTTTCAAATGCACACCTGCATGTAGGGCTCTTATCGACGGTGAAGGTGGCATTGGTAAAACTACCCTACTCAGGTACTTAGCATACAACTGGGCCACCAATACATCAGATGAAATTTTCAAAGACAAAATAGTATTTCCAGTTGGTATCAGAGATATGGAGGCACGTGAGGATGTCTTAGATGTAATTGTGAAACAGATTAATTTCAAACATTTTAATTTGAAAACAAATTTGCTTGAGGATCCAAAATTAATTAAACGATTTATATTGAATCATGATGATGAGGTTGTATTTTTGTTAGATGGATTAGATGAATTGAGAGATGGAAATGAATGTCCATCAAAACTTTTCAAAAGAGAAGAATTAGAAAGCAGCACAGTAATACTTACATCTCGATCAGAAAATATAGACGAGTTCATTAATGAGAGCAGTGTACATGTCAAAGTGAAGGGATTCAATGCTGGTAATATCAAAATATATATCAATAAATATTTTGATCATTTTGAAGAAGAAGGCCAATCTGAATTAGGAGACACCCTAATTAGAGAATTGCAGGTGGATGCAGTATGCAGGAGTCCTGGATTTAAACACAGAGACGTGTATTCAATGTGTAAGAATCCAATGTTGCTTCTCTCAGTATGTACAATTTGGGAGGAAAGTCAAAAGCTTCCAGCTGACAAATCTGATCTACTTAAAGAATTTTTTAGATGTATATTGAATCAGTTTATTGATAAACAAAAATCCAAAGAGGGTAAAATATCTGTATTGCAGAATACCCCAAAGAAGTATGTCGATGCTATGCTTGCATTAGGGAAGTGTATGTATAGAGGCTTAAAGAAAAATCAACTGTACATAAACAAAAAACATTTGGAAGGAAATGAAGAAACAGTTACACTGGCTTCTAAACTTGGATTTGTCTACGAAGATGCATCCAGTTTTAAAGCGAAGTTTGAACATATTTTTACAGCTCCTCACAAGTTGATAGTAGAATCATTAGTAGGGTTTTACTTTTACAAATTATGTCATCTAACAGTGTTGGGAAATGATTGTAAAGGAGACCGTGACATGGCCAATGTAATTACTCGATTGGATGATAATGAATGGGTAGCAATAAGAGAAAATAAATATCTACACATGGCAAGAGTGTTTGCAATTGGATTTCTTGGTGCTAATGCTGGATTGTTCTTAAGTCATTGGATAACAAAAGGGTTTTCAACATTTCCGGCTCTAATGACGTATTTAAACATTGTGAAAGATAAGCACATGTCCTCTGTAGTTGACGAACTAAGTAGCAGCATTACCAGAGCAGATATAAAATTAAAATCACAAATTGATAAAGTATGTAAATCTCTGAGGAGATTTATTCTTAACTTCAATCCTTCTTTGAACCTAAGTAAAGATGAACCTTTCATAAAACTTATGAGAAAAATGTATAATGATTTTTGGGGGCCATGTCAGCTAATATCAAAGAATGAGCTGAAAAAGTTAAAAACTATCACTGAAGCTTTTTGTAACAAACTGTCATAATCTGACGAAAAAGGCAGAATACTTGCTCACATCATGATTGCTATGCCACGTCAAGCATGTTTTTTTGAAGCTATTTGTGATATTTGTACTGACATTGATACTAACTATCTAGAAGATGAGTGCCAAAAGCTTAATTTCAAATATGATATTACAAGGTATTCAATGTGTCGTACAAGAAATACCAACTCACATTTAGTTCATCTGTTAAGCAACTCACCAAAACTTGACAGGCTGCTGTTATATAATAGTATCACGGATGTAAATTTGGATTACATGATCAGAGTGTGTTTAAAAAGAGATATAAAGTTAGAATTAACGTTTCTTGATGTCAGTGGTAATGATTTCAGGAATATTGATGGATCTTTATTGGCATCGTTATTCATTATTGCTCCAAAGCTGTTTCATCTTTCAATGAATGATTGTAGCCTGTCAGTTGCTATTATAAATGATATGATCACAGAATGTTTTAGTAAAGGTTGTATGTTAAAAATTCTTGAAATCACTGATAATAATTTCAGCAATATAGATACATCTTTATTGGTTAATGCTCCTAAATTGAATATTGTAACATAAATAATGTTTGTATACTTTCTTAATATTCTTGAATATTCTTGCATGTTCGCTTAAATGTAAAACTGCTATTTTTGCTGATGACACCCTTATGTATAGTCCTATAACCTCTCCTCAAGACTCTCTCAACCTTCAAGCAGATCTTGACCAACTTACTCTGTGGAGTGAAGTAAACCGAATGCCTTTCAATGTTCTGAAGAAAAAATGTTTTATATATCACACGCTCGCGTAATAAACAATTGTGTTCCTATTTCTTGTCTTGCTCTCTTAATAGTCCGGTGACCACCATTAAATACCTTGGTGTTACTTTCAACTCAAAATTGACCTGGGAGGACCATGTCCATGCCATTGTTTCCAAAGCTAAGCGTATGCTTGGTTTTGTTTGGAGCGTGGCTCGACATGCTTCGACCAGTGCATTTTTGTCTCTCTACAAAAGCCTTGTATTGCCAGGCCTGGAGTATGCTCAACCCGCCTGGTTTCCATGGACTAAATCTTTGTCAGATCTGCTTGAGGGAGTCCATAGAAGAGCAACTCGTCTTGCTCTTAAACAACATCGAGGACAGACGATCTTTGAGGAGAGGTTACATTTGCTTTCTTTTTAGGTCTTTGTCTGTCAGAAGGGACAAATTGCTTATTATTTTTTGCTTTATAGTTCTGATGGGCCTTCTAAACTGCAGCACAGTTTATGATTGTATCAAAATCAATACCAGACATAATGATCGCTTGTGTTTCCGTCACCAAGCATCAAGGACCCAAGCATTTTTCAACTCGGTAGCCATCAGGATGCCTCATGTCTGGGACCAGCTCCCTAGATTAACCGATGCTGCAGTTTTAGAAAGCCCATCTTTTCTTCGTAAGGTTTCTTTGTATTTTGATTCGCTCTAATGTTTGATCTTTTAATGTGTTGCTGACTTTGGGGTTGGGTAAACCGGCTTTGCTACAGTGATTTGGTTCAGTCTGGTTGTCCCTGGTCTCCCCAAATTTCAGCTTTTTTTTTTGTTGTTGTTGTAAATGACCAAATAAATAATGAAATGAAATGAAATTCGATAATAATTTGAGCAACATAGATAGATCTTATTATTGGTTAATGCTCCTAAATTGAATATCGCAACATAAGTAATGTTTGTCTACTATGTATTAGTCATCTTAATATTCTTGTGGTTACCAGATATTTGCATAGGAGTAAAGTTTGTAATTAAGCTGTATTTGAGTTTAAAGAGAAACAATCACTAAATATCACTGATTGTTCCTCTTGCAATTCAATTCAATACACTATTTCTTTGCTCCAAAAGCCATTACTCTACTTAATCCTCTTTGGTCGGAGCAGGACATAAGGCGTCAACAATCTGCTTCCATCTGGAGCGATCTTTACTCATTAAATCATTACTCACAAGTACTCTATGGTTTTGACACCTGACTAACCTACTAAAATATAAGGGAGGAAAAAGATGTTTTTATATTCTTTCCTTTACATAAGTTCCCATTAATATGGGATCTCCAAACAGATCAAAACCAGCCTACACTCCTGAATTTTTATCAACACAAAACAATTGAATAATCATAGGCTTATGCATGTCGATTGGTTTATCAATATGATCTATAAATAAAATGCATGTATGAACATGGAATTTTTTTTTTCCTTTTTTCCCTTTTTATTATTATTATTATTATTATTATTATTATTATTATTTTATTTACTTTAACATTAAACAGTAAACCATTAAAATATAAGCAGGCATATTTGTGACGTTTCGGATCACCGGATCTTCACCTGACTGACTGGTTTCCGATGTTGCGGGCCGCGATCTATAGATTCAGGTCAGATTTATTGATTAAAATTGGTTGTAATTATGAGGAATTTTGTATGTGGCATCTTCTCTCTTCATGTCGTTTCCACCTTTTCGTCTACCAACTATGTGGTGAGATATAAGTTTTTGTAATATTCTTTTGATGGTTTGAAACCATTATCAATAATATTTATTCATGCAACATTCTCTTGTCAATTGCAATATTGACAGATTAAAACTATTATTATAGAATTTTATTGAGGCCTATTTAGTTTAGTTTTTAAGCATTTGTTATTGGGGCACTCTCAAAGAAAAAAAAGAAAATCAAGTTCAAGTAGTTAAAAATCAACTCAAATCGCATTATTTTAAGAGCCAGCGCCCACTCGCCTCTAGTCATCGCCCACCCCATTGCAAGACTCCTACGCCACTGCTGCTTGGCAAGACTTGATCTAATATGTAGCCTACAGTATCGTAAGCTTTTCTATGATTACCGCACTATTCGAATAAATGCCCTGCTTTGAATAAATTCCCCCACCGACTCGAATAAACTCCCCCTATAGCCTTATTTGAAATAAACGCCTCCTTTTTTCCTTGAATAAATGCACCCTCCCCTTCCCCCTTAAATTACTGTAAGCATATTTCACAACAAATTCCATTAATGTTCTACTCCAGTAGAATTACATTTGTTTAATCCTGGTTGGGATCTGTAAGTCTTTCTTTCACGTAAACAGATTTTGATGGTAATTATATTGTGTTGTTAATATTTACAGTGAAATTACAGTGAGTGGATTCTTTTAGTATACATCAATTTTATAGTAAACGCCTCCCTCAAACACTGTGCGTGCAATGACAAGCCAATGTGTTGTTAATTTGCACATGTTTTAACTTGTATAATGACTGTATGTTCCTATTTGAATAGCTCATTAAAAAATTTAACAAACTTTCAAAAATTAGAAAAAAATCACAGCTTTAATGACATTTTATTAGAAAAAACCAGGGTCTATAAATAAAATATAACCTCAACGCAGTGTCCTACTTGAGATTTCAAAGGTTATTTTGAAAAGAGGCCCATATCCAGTGGCGTAACGCCTATGCGCTCTCGATCTAGCACCCTGAGCAAAAAGGACTTTGTTGATAATAAAACCATAATGTGTCTCTGAAATCGACTGTAGGGTATATATCACATTATAATGATTAAAGAGAAGGGGCCTCGACGCCCCCCCCCCTCTCGGCCCGGGACCCCACCAAATTTCTCAAAAAAAAAAAAAATAGAATAAATAAAAATGGAGATAAAAAGAATTTTAAGTCTGTAAGTGGCATTTCCGGCCATCTAGGCGTGCCATAGTAATACATTTTCTTATCTCAGTCACACAAGGGCAACAGCATAATGTGTGTCTGAAATCGACTGTAGGACATATCATATTATATCCAGTGGCGGAATAAAGAGTGTGGGGGAGGGGGGAGCTGCCGATTCGGGCCCCACTAAATTTGTCAAAATATTGTTTAACTGGAGATAAAAAGAAAATTCATAATTTTGTCTGTGAAGTGTCATTTCCGTTTATCTAAAGGGTGCTATATTCATAAATTTTCTTACCTCAGCCCCAACCATGGTGGGTCTGAGGTGGTATAGACTCTCCAACTGTGAAAGCCCCTCCCTGGCCTCAATTTTCTGGATGCATATTATATCATTTATTCATCGTTAAAAAAAAAAATAGAATAACGATGCACACCTAAAAATCCCACGATGGAATTGGTGACCGGGACCCAAAAAGGGGCCCCAGTTTCAGAAATACACAGAGCCCCCGGCCCCATTGTTACACCAATGCCCATATTGTTTTCAAGATAGGCCTTATAGGCCTAATTCCTTTTTTTTACATAAGGATTGTAAAAGAATACCAAAGAAACAGAAATACCAACGAAAACGCTTGAATTTAGAGTGGATTTACTGTCTTTTTACATTTTTAAGTGGCAGTCTTTACTTAATGTTTGCAATAGTAAACATTTTAATCTAAAACTTTTTTTTTGTTTTTTGTAAGTAAACTTTATGCCTATGTTTAGGAGAAGGTTTACATCATTGCTATTTGTTTAATGTTGCTGTTGAATCTTTCATTAACTCCTTTTTCATTTCTAGTTGATTCTTATGTCATGCTTCATTTTTCTTTTGTAATTGTTTTCCTGAATGAATGAATTAATGAAAGAAAAAATGAATAAATGAATTAATTAATGGACGGATGGACGACCAACCGACTGAACCAATGAATCAATGAACGGAAGAATGAATGAATGAATGATTGATGGATTGATGAGAATTGAAATGGATGGATGAAAGATGGATGGAGGATGGAGAATGAATGAAAGAATGGATGGGATGGATGGATAAATAAATAAATTGGTGAGAAATTTTCAGATCTGCAGTGGCGGTGACACAGGAGGATGGGGGAAATTCCCCACCCCCAGATAAATTTCTTCTCCATCCCCTGGTTTTTAACCTCCCAGAAAGAAGGAAAACCACCTTCTACATATTAATAATAAACTGTCTAGCTACTAAAATCGATTAAATAATCCTCTGAAACCCCTATTGTTATTTTTTCTGGGACTTCAAACTCCCTTGACCACCTTTTACCCCTAGACATTTTGAGCAACGCCTAACCACACCCACCCCAGCATATTTTCCCCCTGAATTTTAACTTTTCCCCTACCTTTTAATTTTCCCCCTCACTTTTCCACCCCCATAATAACGAAAAATAGACACATTTTTAATACGATTTTTCAATTATACAACTTCATTTATTTTTATAAAAATGTAGTACATAAAATTACATTTTTAATACGATTTTGCAATTATACAACTTCATATATTTTTATAAAAATGTAGTACATAAAATAATCAAAATTCTAATTTTCAATTACACAATTATACATCACGAACGGCAATACGAGCAAATCAACGACTGACAAGACTGTGGGATGAAAATGTAGCTGGTATCCGGGGGGTCATTCACTGATGACATCGGCAAGTCGACTAAATTCACTGAGAGCCGCACTACATTCACTGAAAGACGCGCTTGGCGTTCCATAGAAATTACCGGCGGCTCAACTTGTCGGCGGCTCAACCGGTCATATCCCGAATAGACGTGGGCACAGTAACCAATGGTGGGTGCGAGTTTTCCTATATTTGAGTATATGTTTGCTAACGTGGGTACGAGTTGGCATGGGTACGAAGATTGATTAAAAATCCTACATATGACACAAAATCTAGCATACCTGCATTCTGAAAAGACCATCCATTTAACAGGCCTATATACAGTACTTGAAATTCCGATAGAAAAATCATCGACAAGCAATGGGGGCAGACATGTTGGACTAATAACATAATTTGTCAGTAAA